ATCCTAGTTTGCCACTTCGCTACTAATTTTGTCTACGTTAAAACCTCGAGTGTTGAAATTACGTGTGTCGAATTCGTCTGGTGAAATTTACGTGTATAATTTAGACCTGCAACCTGAACTCATAGGAAAAATGTGGAGAATTTATTAAGAAAGATAATTCAATAGTTCCTCAATAGTTTAAACATTTGATGGAAACAAAAATCGAAAACTTGACCGTTTTTCTTCTGAATTCTTCACCGTACCCGATTATTCTTAAGTGGAGTGGGCAACAAGCCGGAGTTCTTCAGCAAATGTTTTCCTGGCTCTCGAAAAAAGAGGTTTGAAGCTTCTAGCTCTTGAGGTTTGGAAGAATGATGAGAAGAGTGGAATTACCTGTCAATGAATTTCGAATTTCTTAGGGTAAAAATGAAAAGAGATTTTTTTCTCGATTTTTAGAGGATCGTAGACTTTCTTTTTTCTTGATAATAAAGGGGTGAATTTTGTAGGTGACTTTTCAAGTCTGAAAACTGTGAGAAATACAAATTTATTTATTGACTATAGACTCGAGGGTTTAAATATTTTTTTTTTGAGAGGTTTTTTGAGGTCACTAGGTAATGATAATAATAACGTTAGTACGTCAACGAGATATTTTACACGTTCAAATTCGAAATAAAATGATGAACAACGATTTTTATTTAATAAATTTTTTCGTTTATTTACTGTTTTAAAATTAATTTAGTCTGAAAATTCCCAGATCGAGGAATTTCTCGTTATCATTCCTGTAGATAGATTCTCCTAGTGACGACTGATACGAATAAAAAATACTTGTAAAACGAAATATATTTAATTTATTTTTAGTCTCCAACAAATGTATTTTTCTTCAATTTCATATTATTCCCCATAATTCATTGGCTCTTTCTTTTATTGTAAAAAAAATGGCACTTTTGAACTTAATATCGAGTGCAATTGGAAGGTACTACTAATTATTAAATGTGTAATTCAAAAAAGAACAATTGATGAAAGAGAACATTGTATATAGAAATGTATAATAGGTATAATAATAGAGAAAACAAAATTTAGTTGTAAGTGAAATTTCTTTCGAATAAGAAAAAACAGATCTTAATAAATAATGACAATATATCAAAAATGTGTTGCCTTAAATTATTTCCCTGATTCAATTATCACTTGAATCAACTTAATTTTGAAATGAAAAAATAATTTTATTTTACATAAACGAAGTGTAGTTCCAAAATATGTGCTGAATGAAAAAATACGTATGAAAATGTCAATTTCTTCTTGGACAACTTTTTTTTGGTAATTTTCAGCAGTTTTCCTCTCAACTTTGAATATAGAATTTCTCTGTTTCAAGACTTAGACTCTGTAGTTACGACGATCCTCATTTCGTATTGAGTTGGCTAGGCAGAGAGCGAAGATAATTCCCACGAGCTGAAAAACGAATAAGAAAATTAAATTATTAATCAATTACTTTCAGATGAAAAAATGCTAACGTTTTTGCCTGGAGAAAAGGATGATTTTTCTCTGAGAAGGAAATATTTCACGATTTCATAGAATGGATTAAATATTTGATTATAAAATCATTTAAAAACCAAAAAAGAACATATTTCATGCATATAACACAATTTTATATATTTTTAGAGGATTATATTTATTTATCATCTATGGAAAAGCAGATAAAATGGCGGTGATTTTTAATAGTAAAAATGTTATTGCCACCCGGAGTACGTTTTGGCGTGAAATAAACAAAATTTATCGACAATAGCGATTGCGAAAGTTTCACCGGTAATTTAATGATAAGTCTATATCTTATCCATGCTTGTCCTGTCACAAAAACCGAGTGTGGGATGAGTGAAACGCCGTCGGAGTGAATCACTTGGTGGAAAGTCTAATTAAAAAGCTGACTATCTGTTACCACTGGCGATTGACAGGAATATTACTGCTGTGTACTAAGAAATTACGAAACACATCCGTCTAATCGATGAGGACCTTTGAAATGACGATATTCTAACGCAATACTTACGGTGGTCACACCTAAAATTTCAATGAATCGTTCAATTCGACGGTCTGGCGCAGGAATGAACAAATTTTATTTTTAAATCCTTAAGTCTCGAAAATATTTATGAACTATCGTACTCCCAAGTGAAAATTATTATTGGGCCGAGTACTTAAAAAAATGGCATGTCTC